TATCGACCGAAATTAAGAAATATATCGTGATATAAATTTTGGCCATATCGTCCAGCCCTAATTAGTACCTTACATTAGTAATTGTACCCTTAAGGTAGTAATATGTACTCTAATGCAGTGGTTCCCAATCCTGGTCCTGGAGGCACTCCAACACTGCACGTTTTGCATGTCTCCTTAATCAAACACACCTGATTCAGGTCCTCAGCTCATTAGTAGAGACTTCAAGACCTGAAATGACAGCCCTGCTCCAAGACCTGAAATTGGTGTGTCAGAGAAAGGAGACATGCAAAATATGCAGTGTTGGGGTGCCTCCAGGACCAGGGTTGGGAACCACTGCTTTAATGTACTGAAGAAATGAAGAAGGTATGGTGTCCCTTTTAGGGTACTGCCCCAGTGACAAGCTACACTCCGCCTCACGCTACAAGTTTTGCTCAGTTTTTCTGAGAGTGTACAGATAAAACTTGCACACTTTAAAGGTGACATGTCATGAAAATCTGACTTTTCCAAGTTTCATACTGTAAAAAGGGGCATAATATGTCTCCTTTAAATAAACTCTTCATACACTACCGTTCAAAAGTTTAAGGCCAGAATTTTTTTTTTTTTTTTTATGTTTTTGAAAGTCTTGTGCTCACCATTAGTTTGTTTTACTATATTAAAAATACAGTAATATTGTAAAATATTATTACATTTTTAAAACAGTTGCTTTCTATTTTTCAGGATTCAAAAGAACAATATTTATATAAAATATAAGTATTTTATAACAATGTGAAAGTAGTATAAGTATTTATTGTCACTCTTGATCAACTTAATGTGTCCCTGCTAAATAAAAGTATGAATTTCTTTGAAAGAAATCTTACTGGCCTCAAACTTTTGAACGATTGTGTAGTTGCAATGTCTTAAACTCTTTTAGCAATACTGCCCAATCATATACACTGTTTGTTCCCACACACACACACACACACACACACACACGCGTCTCCAGAAGTTGTTTTGAAGGGCTTTATGTTAGGGTAGCATAAGTCTGTATACAATACCTGCATCTTCACTCTCTGACACTGTTGACTCTGACACTACAGCTGATGTGCGGATGAGAGGAAAACAAGACAGTTTAGACAGACACATGACACACATTGTTATGATGGACACACACACTCTCACACAAACAGAGTTTAGATGAATTTCACATTCAGAAACTCATCACTCATAACATGCCAAAACAAACAGACGCTAAATCAGATCGAGAGAAATCCAGCACCAGAAGAAAAAAAAACCCTTTAAAAGATGTAAAGCATCAAAACAAAAAACTGATGCATACTATGAGCAAAGATTAATGAAGTACATAAATCTCAAACACACACTACAAACACAGACCACCATCGATACCCTATTTTCCCCACAAAGTACTACAAGCAACGCTACAACTTATAATGTATACAATGCATTTATAATGACTCGCATGCTATTTTGCCTCAATTCTGCTCTCATTTAAACTATTATATAAGTTTCACTTGAAAAGCAATCAAAGATCTTAAAACATGAAATTGACAACAAAATCCCACAAGCCTCCATCATTTTACATGTGCTGTAAATGTACTGCTTAATGTAGTTTATTCTATTGTTCTGTTTTTCATCTTTATATCATTTGTAAGTATTGATAATTCCAGAAATGAAAACTGTATTCTCCAAATCTTATAGACTAAAGACATCAGTGAGAACTGATTCATCATGTAAATGACTATGAATGTGACCTTACTTCTACCTCAAGTTGCCATAGTGACGCCAAAGAAAAATTAGCAGTTCAGTTCGACATCTATACTTGAACCTTCATTCAGATGAGACAATCTGAACTAAAAAAAACAGAAACACTGGGTTGATGATACTAATAATCACTGGTTCCATACATAAATCCTTGTGACTTTCACTAGGCGAGACGCAGCATACTTCAGTACCCTGTTAAATTAGCTGCACCATGTGGGTTATGAAAATTAAACCTGCTATAATGCTAATGCATTATACTATTTATGTTAATATTATGCTGTTGTAAACAATGGATTCTTGATCCACTGAAGTAGGACTTTATATGTAATTTCCTAATTCTATTGTCTTTTAAAGTGCACTGCTGAATATACTGACAAATATTTATGGTAAACTAAAATATACTTGAATGTTTTTACTTATACTTTCTTTTTTTTAATCGATTCCTCTAAAATAAATCAGACTTGTTGGCACTTCCCAGCAGGCAAACACCCCATCACCAGTTTATTACCTGTTTGATGTTCAAACATCACAAAAAGCAACACTACATTTTAGTAGTCATGCCATATAGAGCCGTAACTACAGAAGGTCCTTAACAAATAACACAGCAGCAACACGAGCAGCAAAAGCAGAGAGCTACAAAGCAGAAGAAGAGTTGAAATCTAGATCCCTCAGAAGTGCACTAGGATCGATCTACTCTACTAAGGGCCGATGAAGACCGCAGGTTGTGCCATACCAGGAGCTTTCTTCTGCTGGTCCTCCCATGTGACCTCTGAAGTTACAACACAAGGAGAAAGAGTCAATGCTTCTGCTTAACAAAGCTGTTAATTAGATGTGCATAGTTCAGGCCTGCAGAGCGCACATACTGTATAAGGCACATTTGGCATGTTCAAATTACAATTGCATGCAATTTACCCTTATAGACTTAAAAAAAAATACAGTGATTTTTTTCTCTCTCTCTATAAAAAAAAATACTTTCTCATTTTTTCACTTGTCGTAATTAACTAAAAAAAATAGCAATTTATTATTTTAGTAATGTATTAGTAGTTATTTATTTTATTACTTATATATATATATATATATATATACATAT